AGAGCACTACAGATGTTTTTTGCAGCCTCACTTGCTTTTCTTCCTAATTGGAACTCGTAAAGCATGCAGTGCTGAATATGCTCTTCATCCGCCATCTTCTTAGCCCTAGTTTTGCAACAAAAACCAAACCAAACACAAACTTTTTCAAGCAAAACTTGTTAATTGCACTTCACACGTTCTGTAGATACCACGTGTTTGAAGGTTATGTCAATACAAGTCAACGCCAAGCAAGATTTTAAACGAATGTTTAAAAACAGCATTAATTATTACTATACCCAATACTTTTTTTGTGTGTCTTAAAGACTTAATGCTAATTAAGTTACTCTGAACTATATTACAGATTTTTGCTAAAAATCTGTACAAATATTTTGTTATTAATATTCTCTTACCTAGTTTTTATATTTTTATTCTTTTTCTTTTTGCAGTTGTGTCTAGAGTGTGTTAATCACAGTAGGAGATGCAGAGATGAGAATCTTCATTTGCACTTTTTCTCTTCTCTTCATCAAGTATTCCCAACTTGACTCATTTGTTATTCATTCATTTATCTATTAAACTGCAACTTCTTGAACCATTATGTGCAAGATTCTGGGCAGGAATGAATAAAACAGACAAGTTTTTACATTCTAAAGTGCAGTGATAACAAAGGGTAAAATATTTAACTGCAGCAGTGTTTGACTATATTCTGCGCAGTGAGAAAACCTGAAGTCATTTTCAAGGGACACCATTTCTTAATCTTTTCAGTTCAGTAAAGTTTCTCAGCTTTCTAAATGTCCATTTTCTGGCTAATGAAAAGAAAGTAGGATTCCACTGAGTCTCCTATCTACCTACTCCAGGACTTCGTTGAGGATCAAATGAGATGAGGCACCAGAAAACGCTTCACAGACATTTGACTAAAGTGTAAAATATTTCCATCTGGCTATAAAGTAAGTCATGTTCCTGGGCTGAAGAAACTGCAAGAAGGCTAGTTGTTAGGGAGAGGAAGCCGAGTGTTGCTACATGACATCATTGCCTGGATGGATACTTAGCATATTAGCCTTTTATATATGTAGATTATATATTATATATATGCATTGTATTTTATGTATTTATATAGTACATGAAGCATTAAAATAGTGCTTTAAAATATTTTTCTAAAAAGTGATACGGAATTTTTGGACTGGAACATGCAGTGTTCCCCTGGGCAGGATGGCTTGTCCCAGGCTCTGTCCATGAGAGTCAAACAATGAAACCACAGATGGGATATGGTATAGTAAAGGTGGAAATTTATTGAAGAGTAAGTACACACTCCCATGTGGGGAGGCGGAAAGAATATCACAGCACAGATTCCCATGTGGGTAGGGGGACAGAGCCCCACCGAGTTTCTTTTTTCTAGGTTTATAAAGGCTGCAGTTTTTGTGCTTCAATAACCCCTCTGATTGGCCACTATTCCCCTTTTACTTGGTCACTATAGCTACTCAGAAAGTCAAAAGTCAAACCTTAAAAGGGACAAGTGAGGGCCTCCTTTATTTTTGTAAATATAGACCTTTTGCTATTACAGCTTCCTTATCTTTTGGAAATGTAACTGCTGACTCTCCCAACTTCCTTGTCTTATGGAAATGTAACTAACTTTTTGCCTACCCCAACCCCCTTATCTTATGGAAATGTAACTTTTTGCAGCTCCAAAGTCCTTTTTCCATGGACCACCTTAATTTTAAAAATTCCCTAAACCTGCCTATTTTACCCCTAAAAATTCCTATTTCAAAAGTAATTTAAAATTTTTTTTGGTTTTATAACTTTGGTTCAATTCGATAACTGCTAGACTATATTTTTGTTCTAATATTTTTGTATTATTTTTCCTTTTATATTTTAAGTTAAATATAGTAAAACCTGGACAGAAAAAAAAAATGTCTTGATAGTTAAACCAAACTTCTGTGTTTGGAACTGACAATCCTTTCTTGTTGATACCTCAGCACAACAAAAGCATCTCTCAGGCCACAAAGGAGGGAATGCCTTTGTTGCTGGGGAAGTCAACAATTAGCATAATTTTAAAACATGAAGAGGCCATCAAGAGTTTGAAAAAAACAATGATCACAGGCAATTATACACAGGTAGAAAAAACGATAGTTGATTTGGATAAAGTAAAAAAACTGCCACATGACAACATTTTGGAGGCAGTGATATGAACAAGCAAAGATGCTTCAAGCTGACCTGAAAGACATCCCTGGACCCAGTGCTAAAAGTGATTCCTTTAAGGCTTGTAGGGATGGTATGATAAATTTAAGAAAAAAAGGTGTTTATAAAACAATACATTAGACATGTACTATATATAAGAAAGATTAAAATGAAATCATTTGTAGGTATGGAATGGATTTATTCAATTTACATTCTTTCTAAGGGAAAAAATGATTTGCTTTTTGAAAAAAATCACTTCTCGAACAGCCTTTTGTTCAAGAACCAAGTTCCCACTGTACAAATTAATGTCCCGATAAATATAATATGATAAATATAATAAATATAACTTGAAGATTTTTATATTTAATTGAAATACATTGTGATTATTGTTTACATAAATGTATGTAAACTATTTACATTATGTGGAATTCTAATTACTTGTGATTGTGTCTCAATAAAGGTTTAATGTTGATACCTATCTACTCACTTTCCCTCCTTTTTGCAAAATTATTTTCTTTCTTCCCTCCCTTACCTTTCCTTTTCCCTCCCCTTTTCTTTTCCTCTCTCTGTTCCTGCTCTTCCCTTTCTATTCTAACTTTGTAAATAAAAATTTGCTCTCATTCTATTCCTTTTCCTGCCTCCCATTCCCTTCCCGTACTTCTTTCCTCAACATTTCTTAGTTTCCTTCCCTCTTTACTTTTTTCTTCTTTAATTTTTTTTTCTTCCTTCATCTTCTAATTCATCCTTTTCATTTCCCCTACCATTTCCCCAATTTATCCTTAACATTAATACTAAAATAGCATCCTAATTTGTCTCTTAATAAGCCACTGGCATTTTAATCTTCCTAATGCAGAGTTCTTACTAGGTCACTACTGTCTGCTCAAAACCTTTCTGTAATTGGTTGCCCTTTGTTTACCAGTTTAATTCCATAGTCTTCAATACCACTCAGATTATGGCACCAACCTGCTTCTAGAGTTCAATTAAGCTCCATTATATTCCTTCTTGTCTAGCAGAACTGATCTATTGAGAGAAGAGACACATTCCTTGTTCTCTGAATCAGTGTCATTTCTCCTATTATTTCCTTCGCCTGGTGTACCAGTTAATAATGCAGATTTTTTTTCAATAGATGGAGTTACAGTACACATATATATATGTGATTTGATATGGATGCTACTTTGTTGTATTGACAGCAAGCTTAAAAACTTCAAATGTTAAAATTTTGTGAAGGTGTTAACATCATGGATATTTTTACACTTAAAAATGCTGAATTTCATGCCCAAAATAGAGCATTTGCAGGAAGTTTTAATTCATTACTTTATTTTGAAAAAAAAGTGCTGCTAAAAGTTATCATATACTTCGGGAAGCTTATGTTGAACATACTCCATCTCAAGATACTTGTGAATGCTGGTTTAAATGCTTTAAAAGTGATGATTTTGATGTGAAAGACAAAGAACGTCAACCAAAAAAGTTTGAGGACCAACAATTACAAGCATTATTGGATGAAGATGCATGTCAAACTCAAAAACAACTTGCAGAAAGATTAAACATTGCTCAGCAAGCAATTTCTGATAATTTACAAGCAATGGGAAAGAGTTTAAAGGAAGGAAAATGGGTGCCACATCAACTGAACAAAAGACAAATGGAAAACCAAAAAGTTATCAATAAAATGTTGATTCAAGGGCACAAAAGAAAGTCTTTTTTGCATCGAATTGTGACTGGTGATGAAAAGTGGATGTATTTTGAGAATCCCTAAGGCACAAAATCATGGGTTGACCCAGGTCTGCAAGGCCAAATCGCTTTGGGAAGAAGACAATGCTCTGCATTTGGTGTGATCAGGAAGGTGTGAATTATGAGCTTCTAAAATCAGGTGAAACCAATTATTGTCAGTAGCAATTAGTATTTGCTACTGACAACAATCAATCAATTTGAACCATGCTTTGATTGTGAAACGACCAGAATGTGCCAGAAGACACGACAAAGTAATTTTGCTTCATGATAATGCACCATCACACACTTCAAAATCAGTTCCAGACACATTAAAAGATCTTGCCTGGGAAGTATTAATTCACCCGCCATGTTCACCAGAGCTTGCTTCTTCAGATTACCACTTGTTCTGATCTATGGCACATGCACTTTCTAAGCAGCACTTCAGAACGTACGAAGAAGTGGAAATTTGGGTCTCTGAATAGTTTGTCTCAAAACAAGAAAAGTTCTATTGGGACAGTATCCACAAATTACCTGAAAAATGGGGGAAATGTATAGCTAGTGATGGACATTACTTTGAATAAAGCATATATATATATATATATATATTATTGATTTTTCACAGAGAGGAAAGTAAAGGGATAGAGAGGTAGAAACATTGATGAGAGAGAAACATCGACCAGCTGCCTCCTGCACCTCCCCAACCGGGGATGTGCCCACAACCAATGTACATGCCTTTGACCGGAATCGAACCTGGGGCCTTTCAGTCCGCTCTATCCACTGAGCCAAACCAGTTTCGGCAAATAAAGCACTTTTGATGTTTCTCTTGAAATTATCATGTTTTCTCTGATTACAAAATCCACATTATTAACCGATACACCTGGTACATAGCCTCTTTATTCTGCCCATTGGAAAACTATTATCCTTCTAGGCTCAGTTAGATGCCCTCTTTCCTTTTTCTTGTTGTTACCTGTGAGTATCTTTTCTCCTCTAGTCTAGAATATAGGTCTTCAAGATCAGGATTCATCTTTGTAGAATTATGTGAATTTTTATCATGATACCTTGAAGTAGTAAATATTTGGTAAATGTAATTGGTGTGCAGTCACTTTTTTAATTTATCAAAATTTCTATTTTCTTGTCTCTAGTTAAAGAAGAAAAACCTGAGAGTTGGTCACAAAAAATGTCAAACAATCAGGTAAGCTTTCTTAAAATGAAATACCTAATAGCCAGCTTCTTATTGCAGTTGGTGGGTTTGTGGTATATGACTGAATTTTGCAGCCAAATTTCCTATCAAATTCATAAGTTATGTGGCAAGAGGTGCTTAAGTATAACCTAAGAGTCATTGGATAGTAGGTTAAACAGCTAGAGTTCAGGATTTGGAACTAGAAATACCTGAAATCTTAATAGTTGGGTGGCTGGAGCTATTCACTACTTCTCTCAGCTTCGAGGTCTTCATCTTTAAAAAATAGATAAAAATAGATCACTTGTCTCTCTGAACACATATCATCTAAACATGCCTACATACATAAATACACGTATCCTATCTAATAAAAGAGTAATATGCAAATTGACCATCACTCCAACACGCAAGATGGCTGCTCCCATGTGGACACAAGATGGCTACCACAAGATGGCCAGCAGGGGAAGGCAGTTGAGAGGGATCAGGCCTGCAAGGGAGGGCAGTTGGGGGCCAGTAAGCCTGCAGGGGAGGGCAGTTAGGGGTGACTAGGCTGGCAGAGGAGGAAAGTTGGGGGCAACTGGGCCTGCAGGGGAGAGCAGTTGGGGGTGACCAGACCTGCAGGGGATAGTAGTTAGGGGCAATCAGGTTGGCAGGGGAGCCGTGAGGCATCAATCAGGCTAACAGGTTATGGGGTGATCAGGCTGGCAGGCAGAAGCAGTTAAGGGCAATCAGGAAGGCAAGCAGGCGAGCAGTTGGGAGCCAGCAGTCCTGGGTTGTGAGAGGGATGTCCGATTACTGTGATCAGGCCTAAACACAAATTTTGTGCACCGGGCCTCTAGTTTATACCTAAATATAAATGTGCAAAGTATGTGTATATATACAACAAAAATATGTGGATCATGCCAAAACCGGTTTGGCTCAGTGGTAGAGCATTGATTTGCGGACTGAAAGGTCCCAGGTTCGATTCCAGTCAAGGGCATGTACATTGGTTGCGGGCACATCCCCAGTAGGGAGTGTGCAAGAGGCAGCTGGTCGATGTTTCTGTCTCATCGATGTTTCTAGCTCTCTATCTCTCTCCCTTCCTCTCTGTAAAAAATCAATAAAATATATATTTTTTTTTAAATATGTGGATCAACATAGTAAAGTTACTGGTTAATTCTGCCAAACTAAGTTGCAGAGAGGAACTGAAGTTTATGTTTTATTTTATGTAGTCTCTGCTTTTTGATAAGAATATATATATTCTATAATCAAAGTATAACAAATTTTAATCTATAAAAAGTCAGTATGTGACATAATGATGTGCATATGTTCTATATGTATATTGTATTCTAATACAGAATTTGAAAGAAATCAGATTCTTATAACTACTAAACTAGAGGCCCAGTGCAGGAAATTCATGCACGGGTGGCGTCCCTCAGCCCAGTCAGCACCCTCTCCAATCAGGGACCCCTCAGGGGATATCCAACTGCTGGTAGTAGGACATCCCTCTCACAATCTGGAACCGCTGGCTCCTAACTGCTCACCTGCCTGCCTAGTTTACCCTTAACTGCCCCCCCTGCCATCTTGGTCACCCCCCCCCCCCAACTACCCTTCTGCCAGCCTGGTCACCCTATAACTGTCCAGAAGGAAGTCGGTCGGCTAGAAGATGTTTGGTTACCCGGTCTAATTAGCATATTATCCTTTTATTAGTATAGGTGATATCTTAGCAGAATATGTGTCTTTAGCATAAAATAGTTTGTTAGTAAATAGAATTCAATAATAACTAGATATCAGTAAAATGGTTTAATTATATGACTTTTAAGACCCTGTTCTGCAACTCTTATGCTATGATTTCCTTTATTCTAGAAAAGGGTTTATAAATGTTTCATGCCATGGATTTTTGGTGAAGTCTATGGAGTCTCTTAAAATCCTATCTAATAAAAGAGTAATATGCAAATTGACCATCACTCCAATAAACAAGATGGCTGCCCCCATGTGGACACAAGATGTCCACCACAAGATGGCCTGCAGGGAAGGCAGTTGTGGGCAGTTAGGGGTGACCAGGCCAGCAGAGGAGGGCAGTTGGGGAAGACTAGGCAAGGAAGGAAGGGCAGTTAGTGGGGGACCCAGGCCTGCAGGGGAGGGCAGTTGGGAGACACAAGTACTCCAGAGGAGGGTAGTTGGGGGGGGGTCATGCCTGCAGGGGAGAGCAATTAGGGGGACCGGGCCTGCAGGGGATGGTAGTTGGGACCAGGCCTTCAGGGGGGAGAAATTTGGGGGTTACCAGGCCTGCAGGGGAGGGCAGTTAGGGGTGATCACACTAGCAGAGGAGGGCAGTTGGGGGAGACCAGGCCAGCAAGGGAGGGCAGTTGGGGGGGACCCAGCCCTAAAGGGGAGGGCAGTTGTGGGGACCAGGCCTGCAGAAGAGGGCAATTGGGGGGGACCAGGCCTGCAGGAGAGGGCAGTTGTGGGCGATCAGGCTAGCAGGGAGGGCAGTTAGGGGGGACCAGGTCAGCATGGGAGGGCAGTTGTGGGAGACCAGGCCTGCAGGGGAGGACAATTGCGGGGGGGGGGGGGGTAGAGCAGGACAGCAGAGGAGGGCAGTTGGGGGCAAAGGGGACTGGGTCTTCAGGGGAGGACAGTTGAGGGGAGCCTAGGACTACGGGGAGGGGAGTTAGGGGTAACCGGGCCTATAGGGGAGGGTAGTAGGGGGGACAGGTCTACAGGGGAGGGCAGTTAGGAGTGATCAGGCCAGCAGGGAAGGGAAGTTAGGGATGACCAATCCAGCAGGGGAGGGCAGTTGGAGGAAACCAGGCCTGCAGGGTAGGATATTTAGGGGTGATGAAACTGGCAGGGGATGGCAGTTAGGGGTGACCAGGCTGACAGGGGAGGGCAGTTAGGGGCAATCAGGCCAGCTTCGGAGCAGTTAAGTGTTGATCAGGCTGGCAGGCAGAAGTGGGTTGGGGCAATCAGGCAGAGGCAGGCAAGCAGTTGGGAGCCAGCAGTCCTGAATTGTGAGAGGGATGTCTTACTGCCCATTTAGGCCCGATCCCACTTGTCCATTTAGGCTCGAGATCAGGCCTATACTGGCGGTCAGACATTCCTCAAGGAATCCCAGATTGGAGAGGGTGCAGGGTGGGCTGAGTCACACACACATACACACACATACACGCGCGCATAAATTTCGTGCACCAGGTCTCTAGTAATGTCTTAAAACTAAAATAAAGTACATTCAATGTAAAACAAAACCTGTTATGTTGAAATGGAATTAGAATCACAACTATTGTGGTTTACTGCTTATATTCTTAATTGAAGGAAATTCTAAATTCCTGTTTAGAAAATAGTTAATGAAGATAACGATGTATTTTTTTCCCTCATTCAAGTTTACAGGTCCCCTTTTTTTCTTATGATGTAAAAGTGAAAATACCACATTTTAAAAAGTTTACAGTGATTTATTTAGAGCACTAGTAATTAGTAACTATAAAATTTATTTGCACAAAGAGGTCACTCATACTCTTTTGTAGACATTTGGACAGCCTGGCAAATGTAATACTAAGCTACTGAAGAGAAATGAAAGTACGGAAGTCTCAGAAAATCAAAAGGTTAGGACTGGTTATCTAAATGCCGTTAATAAGGTAAAAGGCCATTTATCTAGCACATGGTTAGATGATTGTTGAAAATTATAAACCATTTTTGTACATACAACTCGTAGCTTTTCCTTTGTCCTTATACTTTCATCTTCATGCACAAAGTATTATTCTTTTAGCCTAACACTGGATTTGAGGACTTTTTAGCATCCTTGAATATCTCCAAAGCAAATGAAGCACAGTCATCTCATCCTGAAGAGCGTCCAAGTGAAGAACATTTGTCACCACAGTCATTTGCTATGGTTCGTATTTTGTAGGAACTTTTGTACTATTTCACCATTAATGACCATGAATACCCACCCCCTGCAACCGATTAAACCCTTTTCTCTCATCTCGTGTGTTGCATCTTTCTTGTCATCCCATGAGAAAAACCAGGCTGTCCTGGGCAATTAAGCCATTTTCTTGTTTTTTTTCTCTTTAGATCATACATAGCTCCCTTGCTTTTTAAACATTGCTGCTTGGTCAAAATTTATGCTGAGCCAAAACTGGTTTGGCTCAGTGGATAGAGCCAAGGTCAGGACTGAAAGGTCCCAGGTTCAATTCCAGTCAAGGGCATGTACCTTGGTTGTGGGCACATCCCTAGTGGGGGGTGTGCAAGAGGCAGCTGATCAATAATTCTCTCTCATCTATGTTTCTAACTCTCTATCCCTCTCTCTTCCTGTCTGTAAAAAATCAATAAAAAATATATATTTTTTAATTATGCTGGGAAATGTTGGGTTTTGTTGTTATTGTTGTTTTCAACTCCAGACTATTGATTTTCCTTATTCTCTATCTCAGAGAAGTTACTGTTTTAATTTTTAACAATGTAACTCATTAAAAGAAGGAACAGTAAGTAAGGGCTGTAATTCTGTTAACTTTTCTCCTGCTACCCTCACTATCTCCATATCACTCATTTTTAAAACAGAAGGGAACACGGATGCTTAAAGAAATTCTAAAAATTGATGGCTCTGGCACTGTGGACCATAAGAACAAAATGAAACAGTTTGGTAATGAAGTCATTGTTTCCTGTAACAGAAGAGATGAATATGGAACTTCCTCACAGCCTAAACAAAATGAGAAATTGAGTAAGTAAACTAAGTACAACTACTAATAACCAGTTTCATTTCAGAAATTCAGATTATTTTTTATCATGTGCTTTTTAAAGGTAAAACTACTTTTATTTTAAAGGAATATAATTAAAAGTAACAATTAGGAGTGTAATTTTTATAACTATGTAGCCAATAGTAGATATATATAATAGTTCGGGTTTGTTTTTTTTGTTGTTGTTTTTTTGTTGTTGTTTTTTGCCAGGACACAGGCTTTATTGAAGAGAAGAGTATACTGCTGGCTGCTTCCAGAGAGAGAGAGGAAAAGAGCGAGGGCTGGGGTGCACCACCTTTTAAGCGGAGGAAAGAGAGGGGACGGGACTTAGGGCACTCAGCACAAGCTGATTGGTGGTTTCATGTAAGGCCTATGATTATGGACCTAAGGACTTAGGAATCCGGGGCTTAGGGTATTTGGCAGGTGTTGATTGGCGGTTCAGTGCTCAGGAATGTCCGGTGGAGTTTAGTCATTCTCCGTCCATCAGTTGGAGGAAGGGAGGATCTATCATTCCAGGCTTCTGGTAATATTTTAAAAAATTGAGAGTCTAGGCAAGGTCAGGGAGCGAAGGTCAGTCTTCCGTAACTGCTTTCAGCAGTCTACCCAGGGTCTCAAAGATTCTGGTGTTCAGTTCTGAATTCAGTGCCAGATAGATCTCTCCCACCTTCTGGTTGGCGAATGCCTTCATTTCGTTCTGCAAGAAACTAGTGAAACAACGCATGAGACAGAGGCCAAAGAGCAAAATTAAGAGTATAAATGCCAGTGGGCCTAATAGTGGGAGGAGCCATGGGTAAGTGAGCAAAAAACAGGTAGTTTTTCCATGCTGGATGAGGGATGCAGCAGCATGATTTCTCCAAGAGACTGGTTGGTGAAGTCTTGAGAGCGATCCTGTTGAGTCACTTAGGAGGTAAAAGCTGGTCCTGAGGCTGCCACAGCATCACTTGTCTGGTTTTGGCTGCTTTTCTGGGCCTGGAGCTGAAAGACAACCTGGGAGTGAAGTTCTTGTTTTCCCAGTTTTGCCCCTTGCTGGGCATTCACATGTTTCTTGTAGGTCTGGTAAGAAAGCGACAAGATTCCGAGGTGTCCTGGTACAGCAGGGTTCGAGAGGTATTCTGAACGAGCCAATCAACTCAGGACCATGCCACCAAGCAGGGCCAGAGGATTTTCCACGTTCACCCGGGTCTTAGGCACCAGTATGTTTCAGCACCAATATAAAAGATGAAATAGAGAGGGCTGGAGGCCGGGATGCCAGGACACAGGCTTTATTGAAGAGAACAGTACCACTGCAGCTGCTTCCAGAGAGAGAGAGAGGAAAAGCAATATATAGTTCTTAAATGTCCATTGTGTATACTGAAATTGTACTATTACATACCCTCCTTCTGCAGATCTCAAGCCTAGAAAGGATTTCACAGTCTAGCCTTTCCCCCCCCCCCCAGCAATTTAAGAATGATTATATAACTTAAATATATCACTTAACTTTTCTAAAATTCCTTTTTTCTATTTACAGAATGAGAGTAACATTTTAAATGACTTGTGATGATTATATGGCATATATAAAGCAGTTAGCACTGTGTCTAGCACATTGTAGGTGCCAAAAATTAATGTTAGTGTTTTGTTAAAATAAGACCAACATAAAAATAAAAGAATCTTTATATCATTAGAAATAGTTAATGGAGGCAGACATTGGAAAGTGGTTACTTACTTGAAATCTACAAAGCCTGTAGCACAACATCTGGCAGGGAGCTGGATTTTAGTAACTATCCATCATTGCTTTTGCTCCTTATTTCTTTATACTTTAGTATTTTGTCTATGTAATTATCTGCAAATAATTACATAGGAAGAATCACTAGGGCAAAAGTTGGTGGGATAGAAGTTTCTCAAAGAACTAAAAAACATTTTGAAATAAACATATCTGAATTTATTGAGGAACAAAATATGGAAGAAAACTAGAGCCTTCTCCCATTTATACTCCAATTAATATTGGGATAAATAATTAAAATTTCAATAACTATTAGGAAACTAGTTATTTAATATAGTGACAGACATGCTCTTAAAATAGAGCAAAATTTAAAACAAAATCGGATAAAGATGGTCCCACTGCCAAAAACAAGTAACTTTTTCTTTGTTTCAGTAGTGAAAAAAAACATACCTGAGAGTCAGGAGTTCAGAATCCAGCCTACGTTGCAGAACTAACACCATTGGTGGCTTCGGGCAAGCCACTTAACCTTTTTTTAGTCTAAGATAGGAAGAGATTTAGATTCATTCTTCACTGAGATATGCTCTTATTCTATTAGTGAGTTTATTGATCATAAAGAATGTGAACTTTTAGAATTTTAAAATTATTTTCTATATAAAAGCTCTTTAAAGACTTAATTTCAGAAAAAAAAATAATTCTAAGAAGCATCATTTGAAGAAACAAAAATGTTCACCTATGGTATCTTAGAATGTAAGATGAATTTCTAAAACTAAAGCCAAAGCCTCAAAACTTAAGAATTAATTATAAATCAGCTCAAGAGAGCCATTTGCTTGTTTAAATTTTGCCTGTAACATAAGTATATAGTCATTAATATCTCAAGATGTTCATTTTTGGCTGTCAGCTACTTATTGTATTTTAAAATCTTTATTTTAATCATATATCATTAATCAGTTACAATCACCTAAAAAATCTTTACTGAACTTTTAGTAATTTTAGGCAGTATTGAATAGTTCTTACATTTGTTTCATGGAAGATTCCCCTCTCTACCTTTTAACAATTTTTTGCTATTATTCTGTGAAACCTTACAATAATTGCCTAATTTGAGATATCATTTAATACAGATATGTCCTATTCTCTGTTTTGGTAGCATCTTATGTGAACAAGCCTCAAAGTGCTAGAGAGTACCATCATGTTCAGTCCATAAACAATGTGTCCTGGCCTGCTTCAAGCCAGATCCCTTCTGTGTCCACACCAGTAACTGAACTCTCGAAAATTTGTTCCCTTATTGGAATGCCACAACCAGACTTCTCCTTTCTTAGAACACCACAGGTATAGTATACTACTGTTCCATTTAAATGTGTTCTTTAACACTGAGCTTAAATAAATTGACTAAAAGTCTTTGGCTAGAAAAAATACATTTTTTAAATTAATTCAACATAATGCCTAGGGAAGGTCAGACCAAATGATGTCTCAGGCCTTATACAACCCTCAGGCCAGAATCTGGTCTAAAAGAATCTTGGTTCAAACTTTTTGATCTTAGAAACTACCCACTTAAAAACAAAAAAACCAAAAAAAAGAACTTTTGTTTACTTGTGTTATATCCATATTTACTATACTATAAATTAAAACTAAAAAGTGTTTAAATGTTTATTTAAAAATAAGTTTTCAAAAAAATTTATAAAATGGTCTTGCTTCACATTTTTGCAAATCTTTTCCATGTCTAGCTTAATAGTAGAAGCTAGATTCTCTTATCTTCTTACTCTCAATCTCTTGTGATACATTGTTTTGGTTGAAATCTATCACATAAACCTATCCTCACACAGATAGTTGAAAAACGGAGCCGGTGTGGTTCAGGGGGAAGACTGGAAGCGGTGCCAAGGTTTGATTCCCATGCCCAGGTTGCTGGCTCAATCCCCAGTAAGGGATGTGCAGTAGGAGGCCAAATCATTGATTTATGTTGTTGCAGAAATTACCAAGCAACTGGAAAACACACAATGGGCACTCCAAAGATTCAGAAAAATCCCTTTATTTGCAGATGCACTAGTGTGGAATCTCAGGGGAGCCAGTCTCCAAAGCCTGAGTATTGGATGTGGGGAGGGAGCGGGGGAAATTTCCCCTTTATCCCCTGAGTTTCTTTGTCTCCCAAATATGGACCAGTCTTCCAGACTTTTCACTGGCTTTGCAAACCCCCCCTACCTCCCCACCCCTGTGGGGTTAGAATGGGGGAAGTGAGATTACTGTATATCCAAAGGTCTGGCCTGGCTGGCGCCAGCACTGTCAACCCCCTCCAGGGGTTATGTATGGTTCATGGTTTATGGCCTCTGTACAATGGAAGTATTCTGGGAAACAGGTTCTGCAAGGCTGGAGAATGGGGCTTAATTATTAGGTGTGCCAGTTACTAATGCAGATTTTGTAATCAGAGAAAACATGATAATTTCAAGAGAAACATCAAAAGTACTTTATTCAAAGTAATGTCCATAGCTAGCTACACATTTCCCCATCTTTCAGGTATCATTCCAATAGAACTGTTCTTGTTTTGAGGCAAACTATTTAGAGACCCAAATTTCCACTTCTTCGTACGTTCTGAAGTGCTGCTTAGAAAGTGCATGTGCCATAGATCAGAACAAGTGGTAATCTGAAGGAGCAAGGTCTGGTGAATACGGTAGGTGGGTTAAAACTTCCCAGGCAAGATCTTTTAACTGGGGTGTGCAGGAGGAAGCTGATTAATGATTCTCATCACTGATGTTTTTACTTCTCTGATTTAACTGGTTTTGAATTGTATGATTGTGCCTCATCATGAAGCAAAATTATTTTGTCCTGTCTTCTGGAACATTCTGGTAGTTTCACAATCAAAGCATGGTTCAAATTGATTGTTTTTGCTACTGACAATAATTAGTTTCACCTGATTTTAGAAGCTCATAATTCACACCTTCCTGATCACACCAAATGCAGAGCATTGTCTTCTTCCCAAAGCGATTTGGCCTTGCAGACCTGGGTCAACCCATGATTTTGTGCCATCGGGATTCTCAAAATACATCCACTTTTCATTACCAGTCACAATTCGATGCAAAAAAAGACTTTCTTTTGTGCCCTTGAATCAACATTTTATTGATAACTTTTTGGTTTTCCATTTGTCTTTTGTTCAGTTGATGTGGCACCCATTTTCCTTCCTTTAAACTCTTTCCCATTGCTTGTAAATTATCAGAAATTGTTTGCTGAGCAATGTTTAATCTTTCTGCAAGTTGTTTTTGAGTTTGACATGCATCTTCATCCAATAATGCTTGTAATTGTTGGTCCTCAAACTTTTTTGGTTGACGTTCTTTGTCTTTCACATCAAAATCATCACTTTTAAAGCATTTAAACCAGCATTCACAAGTATCTTGAGATGGAGTATGTTCAACATAAGCTTCCCGAAGTATATGATAACTTTTAGCAGCACTTTTTTTTCAAAATAAAGTAATGAATTAAAACTTCCTGCAAATGCTCTATTTTGGGCATGAAATTCAGCATTTTTAAGTGTAAAAATATCCATGATGTTAACACCTTCACAAAATTTTAACATTTGAAGTTTTTAAGCTTGCTGTCAATACAACAAAGTAGCATCCATATCAAATCACATATATATATGTGTACTGTAACTCCATCTATTGAAAAAAAATCTGCATTATTAACCGGTATACCTAGTACCGTATTTTTCGGACCATAAGACGCTCTGGACCAAAATACGCACCAGTTTTTAGAGAAGGGAAATGAAGAAAAAAAGATTCTGAAACAAATAGTGTCCTAAAATATTTTATGTGCATTAAAACCCAACATCACAGTCATAAACACATGTAATCAACCCTGTAAAGTAAACAGCAGCATTTAGAACCATTTTAGAGCCGGGCAAGCACACAGAGACCACACAGAGCCGGGCAAGTAAAAAAACTTTTTTTTTTTAAGTATATGTGTAGGCTATATTTGGACCATAAGACGCAGGGACTTTTTCCCCCCACTTCTGGGGGGGCGAAAGTGCGTCTTATGGTCCGAAAAATACGGTATATTGGGTCTAGTAATAATTAATGTCGTTTTAAACATTCGTTTAAAATCTTGCTTGGCGTTGACTTGTATTGACATAACCTTCAAACACGTGGTATCTACAGAACGTGTGAAGTGCAATTAACAAGTTTTGCTTGAAAAAGTTTGTGTTTGGTTTGGTTTTTGTTGCAAAACTAGGGCTAAGAAGATGGCGAATGAAGAGCATATTCAGCACTGCATGCTTTACGAGTTCCAATTAGGAAGAAAAGCAAGTGAGGCTGCAAAAAACATCTGTAGTGCTCTTGGTCAAGATGCAGTTAGCGCCAGAAAATGCCAGCGTTGGTTTGAGAAATTTCGCGAGGGAAATTTTTTGTTAGATGACAAGAGTGGTGGAGGCCATGTGTCCAATTTTGATCAAGAAGCTCTTCAAGCTCTTTTGGTGCAAAATCCTCAAATTACCCAACAAGAGCTTGCGACAACTTTAAATTGTACACAAAAAACAATTTCCAATCAATTGCGTGCACTTGGCAAAGTCCAAAAGTTTGGAAAATGGGTTCCTCCTGAGTTGACCGACAACAACCGTAATCAAAGAGTCACAATTTGCAGTTCGCTCCTCTCTCGTCAAAACCATTTGCCGTTTTTAGAGCAAATTGTTCCCGGAGATGAAAAATGGGTGTTGTATGTTAATTTGAAAAGGCGGCCGCAATGGTTGGACAAAAATGAGGCTCCGCAGCCCACGCCAAAACCTGACTTGCATGCGAAAAAAGTGATGTTGTGTGTTTGGTGGAATTTTAAAGGAATTCTTCATTATGAACTTTTACCATCTAACCAAACCATTACAAGTGCAGTGTATAGTGCCCAATTGGAAAGGTTAGCCCAAGCTTTAAGAGAAAAAGAACCCGCGCTGATTAACTGGAAGGGCGTAATTCTTCACCAGGATAACGCACGACCGCATACTGCAAGAATCACTGCTGAAAAACTGCTCCAGTTGGAATGGGAAGTTCTCCCTCAACCTGCATTTTCTCCTGATATTGCCCCTTCCGATTACCATTTGTTTCGTTCTTTGCAAAACTTTCTTCTTGGAAAAAAATTTAATAATGAAGAATGCCTCAAAAATGCATTGACTGAATTTTTTGCATCAAAATCACAAGAATTTTACAACAGAGGGATTAAAATGCTTCCTGAGCATTGGGCACAAGTAGTAGAAAACAACGGCAACTATATTGTTGATTAAATTTTGTTGTATTGTTTAAATAATTCGATTTTAAAAAAGTATTAGAAAACGACATTAATTATTACTAGATCTAATAGCAAGAATGTGCATCAGAATACTAGTTACTAAAACAGATTAAGATTACTAACCCTCAGTTGTCTTATATTCCTTCTCTCTGAAATCAATAAAAGCAAATCTTAAGGGGAGTTGGAGATTTTAATATCCTTTTCATATAACTGTGGAGATTTGATACTACAATAAAAGGTAGTTTTTCTTGAAAGTTGGTTACAGTGTAGAATCTGAAACTATATCAATGAACTTTATGTCTTATGTGTACTTGAGGGAAAATGAGAGTCCCAAGGCAAATAACATCTTAAAACTATCATGAAAATAGTTTTGACTTTAGCAACCCCTTGGAAGGTGTCTCAGGGACCCTTAGTCTCTCCAGACTGCAATTTTTTTTTAATCAATCTTTATTGTTCATATTATTACAAAGGTTACTCATTTCTTCCCCCCGCACCAGGTTCCCACCCCACCCTCTGCCCTTTCCCCACCCCCCATTGTCCTCATCCATAGGTGCAGTTTATGTTCAGTCTCTTCCCACATCCACCACTCCCCTTTTCCCGGAGAATTGTCAGTCCACTCCCCTCCCATATCTCTGGTTCTATTATAATCAACAGTTAATATTTTTCATCAGGTTTCTTAATTTCCTTGGTTTTTTTTTTTTTTTTAATTAATAAACTTTTATATTTTTAAGAATAAATTTTAAAATCTAATAATTTTAAACCTTGTTTTTTCTGCCCTGGGGACTTTTACTTGTTTACATGTAAACGTGCCCTTAGGCTATCAAAAGGCGTAGCCATTCAAATGTAAATGGACACATTGTTTAAAGATAGCTGCTGGCTGGAATTGGATTACCTGTTCTGGGTAGGAAGGGCTTGTCCTCCCCTTTCTCCATTGAAATTAAGGTATTAGCTTTAAAACCTCTTTTTGGGAAGAGACCTTAAACTTTCAGAACTTTAAATTTTTCAGGTAGTAAATCAATTACTTAGTATTTTCTCAAATCAATAATACCTCCACATGCCCAAGGATACACTTCACACAAAAGTCACTTCCAAATAGATCAACCAACCTCATCCAGACCCCACACAAGGCACTCACAGATCAACACCCCAGCGCTATAATAACTCAGCACATCCAGATTTAAGCCTTCATCACTTGATTCAGCAGACGCTCAACTTCCCCCAAAAGTTTCCAGCCATGTCTGAGAAGCAGCCCTGGGGCATGGGCAGGCGAGGAGCGAGCTGTTCTGGGCCCGGCTGCTTCGGGCCTAGCCTCTGTTGCTCTGGTCCGCTCCACAACCAGCTGCTCCGGGTCTGGCCGCTGCCACTCCGGGCCTGGCTGCTGCCGCTCTGGGCCTGACTGCTCTGGGCCCAGCTGCTCCGGTCTTGGCCACTCCCAGCCTGGCTGCTCCAGGCTTGGCTGCTGCTGCTCTGGGCCTGGCTGCTTCTGACCCAGCCGCTCCAGGCCTGGCCGCTCCTGGCCTGGCTGCTGCTGCTCCGGGCCTGGCTGCTCCGGGGCCGGCTGCTCCCAGCCTGGATGCTCCGGGCTTGGCTGCTGCTGCTCCGGGACTGGTCGCTCCCACCTGGGTGCTCCGGGCTTGGCTGCTGCTGCTCGGGCCTGGCCACTCCCGGCCTGGATGCTCCATGCTTGTGTGCTGCTGCTCTGGGCCCAGCTGCTCCGGGTCTGGCTGCTCTGGGCCTGGCCACCCCCGCCCCAGGCCTGGCTGCCACTTCCCCAGGCCTGGCTGCTCCGGGCCTGGCTGCTGCTGCTCCGGGCCCAGCTGCCACTGCCCTGGACCTGGCCACTCTGGGCCTGGCCGCTGCTGCTCCAACATTCTGTCTTTTTTTTTTTTTTTTTTTAACGCATTTATGTTGCAATGTTGGCTGCTGAGTTGAGTTCTGTCTTAATCTTCGATTTTTCAAGATCTTCTTTGTATTCTTTCTTATGTAATTTTACTATCTTTTGCTATAACTTGATTTCTTCACATTGAAAACTTCTTCAGTTTCTTCCTCCTCGTCCTGGAAGCTCAGCAGGCTGGCCTGCAGTGCCCCTTTGTTTTCCGCTGCCTTCTGCGCGGCTTCAGCCTATTGCAGGGGTCGGCGCCGCCCAGGAAGCAGCCGCCGGCCTCGGCTCCAAGGCCCGTGATCCGCGGTCGAGAGCCCAGCTGCACCTCCCCCCCAGGGGCCCTGTCGCCTGGCTCCTTGCTGGCGCCCTGCTTGCCAGTGACCGGCAGCAGCTACCGCTCCTCATTGCGTTCTTTTCAGACTGGAGTTTTTGTCTCCTCCCCGCTAGGGCAGTCTAGCATCAGAGTCAACATTCCGTCCTCTGCATGCAATGTGCGCAACTGCCGGGGCTCTGCTTTTCGCCGCTCCCCTGGGATTCCACCTCACAGCCCTGTCTCCCTTTGTTTGAGCCTGGGTCCCCAGGGTCTGGCCTAGAACTGGGGTTCAGCCCAGTCCGGGGCTTTTATTTCCTTCCTGCTAGGGAACGCCAGCAAGGTACTCAGCCTCCCCCTCCTCTCCATGCACATGCAGCATATCTCCATACCTTAGGCTTTTTCAGCTCCTCTGATTTTCCTTCTGGTTTTCTCTTTCCTTTTTGTTGTAGAATTTTCAGTCAGTCAACTTTCTGTAGCTCTGGGAAATGTCCATTTTATATTTTAGTTGTATTTTATTGAAACTGTTGTGTGCGACTGCGGTTAGGTGTTTACCTGTGCAGCCATCTTGGATCCTCCCTCTGCTCATTTTTTAATCAAATTCTCCAGCTTGCATCTTGAGGACCACTAGCTACAAGAAAGGTTGTTTTGCTGAAACCAGTTTGGCTCAGTGGATAGAGCATCCACCTGCGGACTGAAAGGTCCTGGGTTCGATTCCAGTCAAGGACATGTATTATACCTTGGTTGTGGGCACATCCCCTGTACGGGGTGTGAAGGAGGCAGCTGATTGATGAGTCTCTCATATCGATGTTTCTAACTCTCTATCCCTCTCTCTTCCTCTCTGTAAAAAATCAATAAAAATATATATTTTTTTAAAAAGGTTGTTTTATCCTTTTTACATCTGAGTTTCTTTTGTTTTGTTTTGTTTTTTTTTTTTTGCTTAAAACAGCATTTTTTTTTTAAGTATATTTTATTGATTTTTTTTGGCCCCCCCTCCCTCCCACACATACCCTCTCTCCCCAGAGTTTTATGTCCATTGGTTGTAATACTTATATGCATGTATACAAGTCCTTCGGTTGATCTTTTATCTCCCCCAGATCTCCCTCCCCTCCCCGCTGTAATTTGACAGTCTGCTTGTTGCTTTACTGGCTCTATACCTTTTAGTTCATCAATTTATAATGTTATTTATTATCCATAAATGAGTGAGGTCATGTGGTGTTTCTCTTTCATTGATTGGCTTATTTCACTCAGCATGTACATCTGAGTTCTTGATACGTTCTTGCCTAAAGCAGAAAGCAGAATTAAATTCTACCTTTTGAAACTGTAAAAGAAAGAATCCCTTTTGTAAAATAAAAAAAAGTATGATGTAAAGAGTTATAATTTAAATGTGAATATAAATCCAGTCAGGACCTCTGAGTTTTTTAGATTTGGGTAATTAATTCATATTGGCAAAAAAACTATTGTTTGGAGGATAGTGTAATGGAGGGGCCAGCAACACATTTTGTTCTGTAAAAATGCAGATAGTAAATATTTCAGGCTTTGCAGGCCATGTGCTCTCTATCACTACTCAGCTGTGTAGCTATAGTATAAAACACCCATGGAAGATACATAAAAGAATAGACTCAGTTGTGTTCCAGTAAAACCTTACAAAAATAAGTACAAGTCCTAGTTTCCCAGGACTTAGTATAAAGAAAACAGTTTTGCTGGCTTTCATTTGCATTAGGATGCTTGACCCTTCAAGTAGCTTAGAAGGCTTTTTTTTTAAATATTGAAAGGTAAGTAATAATTCTAAAGGTTTTGCATGCTAATGCAAAAAAAAATTTTTTTTAATATATTTTACTGACTTTTTACACAGAGGAAGGGAGAGTGATAGAGAGCTAGAAACATCGACCAGCTGCCTCCTGCACACCCCCAATGGGGATGTGCCCGCAACACAGGTACAGGTACATGCCCTTTACCGGAATAGATCCTGGCACCTTATAGTCTGCAGGCCGACGCTCTATCCACTGAATTGAACTGGTTTCGGCCAAAAAAAATTTTTTTAATATATTTTTCTTAATTTCCAAGAAGAAAGGAAAGAGAGAGAGAAATAGAAACATCAGTGATGAGAAGAATCATTAATCAGCTTCCTCCTACACACCCCACACTGGGGATCAATCCTGCAACCTGGGTGTGTGCCCTGACTGGGAATCAACCGTAATCTTCTGTTTCATAGATCAACATTCAATCACTGAGACACGCTGGCTGGGCCTAATGCAAAATTTAAATAGTCCTCTTTTGAATTTCTGAGAGTTTTTTTTTTTTTTAACAGAATGTTAAAATTATTCTACTTGTTTAAACTAAGCTTTGGGGGAAGAAGTTGGTTTCCTAGCCAGATGACTTCAATGACATTTCACATTCTCTTTTTCAGACAATGATAGTTTGCCAGGTGAAATTGCCTAATGGCTTGCTGGTGCATGGGCCACAGTGCCATTCTGAAGAAGAAGCCAAGATCAAAGCTGCACTTTTTGCTTTACAACAATTGGTGAGAACTATTCATGACTTCTCTACTAAGTTTGAATTAATTACTAGAGCTGTTATTGTTGCACTGTCATACAACTTTTAAATACTTCCACAGGGCTCCTTAGGAGTGAATTTCCCTTTGCCTCCACCGATATTTGCAAATTATCCTCCTGCTGTACCACCTGGAACCATTCCTCCAGTTTTTCCCCAATCTACTGGTAAGATAATGTTTGGAGTTGATATATTTACCATAGAAAGATGCATCATTTAAAAATATATATATAAATGTCTAGGGAATAGAAGAAGGAATTGTGAGAAGGTAGCCTGAAAACAGAGCCTGCAGATTCATTTAGTAATGTCATTTCCTTCCTACATTCTCTAGTGTGGCTAGAGTAGAAGAGCATTTTGTTTTGGGCAACCCCATATTCCCCAGAAGCTGCCAACATGAATTTTGGTTTAAGGTAGACATTAAAAACCTTTGGGAGAAAATAGAGATTAAGAGAATAAGAATAGGCTTTGAAGCTGTGGATGTGGAAGACATTGTCCTTCATGATGAGGGAAATGGAGAGTAGAGAGGTTTTTAAGCTAATTGTGTTTCTTAATATTCTCTCATAATTCTCTTTCTCCTTCAAATGTGATGCCTGAATTAGCTCCATGTAGCCAGTGGTGACCTCCTTGTGTGCTAGGGCCTGGGAAAGATCTCTGGGAACTCAGGCTCTTTTGTCCAGGCTCTTTCATTAATGACTTTGAAAAAATAATGGAACTTCTTTGAGACTCCATTTTCTTAATTATGGTAGATGTGCCTAGGATCTCTTTGAGACTAACATTTTACAATTTTTATTATTCTAAATCTTAAGTTCATTAAACATTTATTTTATCACCCTTTTTTCCCAAATGACAGTTGGCTTCTTCATATTCTAATCATTATCATTTTAAAATCAATAACTTATTCACTTCATATTTAGAAAATTACTTTTCTGAGTCTACTATATGCCAGGTATTATTCCAGGAGTTCTACATATATAATCCTCACTAAAAACATTAGAAATGTGAATAACGCTGATTAAACAAGTTATCTTTTCTTGCCTAAACTCCATTAGACTAAAAAATAAGTTATTTTAAAACTGTAAACCTAGGACAGTGGTCAGCAAATTCATTAGTCAACAGAGCCAAATATCAACAGTACAACAATTGAAATTTCTTTTGAGAAACAAAATTTTTAAACTTAAATTATAGTACATTGTTATTAACTTAATTAGGGTACTCCTAAGGTGGTCTTTGCTAAAAACTTAAGGGGCCAAAGAGCCGCATGTGGCTTGAGAGCCGCAATTGCCAACCACTGACATAGGATAAAGAGATGAGAGAGAAAATATCAGCAATTTATAGAATTGAAAAGAATTTGTAATGAGGAAAGCATGTAAAGGAGTAGTAACCAGCATAGTGTAGTATATAGTAGATTTAGGCTATAAACTTCAGTGTCTGTAGAAGAGGATACAAATGAGCTGGGTTGCTGGGTCATCTTGTGCTTTCCTATAAATAAACTGGGAGATCCTGAACATTTTAGGAAAAGAGAATCTCTAAAATCAAAAGAGAATCCAAAACAAAGAGAAAAGAAAGTGACCTAGAAAGAGAGATAATGTAGGAATTAACAATATTGCAACCAAAAAATAAGAAAGTATGAAAAATAATAATTGGAGAACAAGAATCAAATATTGAGCTAATTTTTCAGTAGAAAAAGCCCAAGCAAAGCCATGGAAATCTCAGGAAGAAGAAGAATAGGACAAAATGTGGAAAATAAGAAAGAAGGAACAGTGCATAGATCCAATACCCATGTAATTAGAGTTCCAGAAAAAGAAACCAGAGAGATGGAAAGGAGGGAAAGTATCAAAGAAATGAATAAGAAAGCTTTCTGGACTGAAGGACATGCATCTCTAAACTGAAAGAGCCACCTAACACTTAGCACAATGAATGAGAAGAGATACAGATTGCTTTGAAATTCAGAATAAGAGAGGAGTGGAAATACATTTAAAAGATCAAGAATCAGGCCATGGCATTGATTGGTATGGCTCAATGGAAGAGCATTGGCCTGCTCACCAAAGAGTCACAGGTTCAATTCTCAGTCAAGGACACATAACTGTGTTGCAAGTTCATTCTCCAGTTGGGGTACATGCAAGGAGGCAGCCAAGCGATGTATCTCAGATTAATTCCTCTCCCCCCCTGTTCTTTCTCCTCTCCCTCTATCTCTTCTCTCACTTTCACTCTCTCTAAAAATCAATGGAAAAAAATATCCTTAGGTGAGGATTAAGAACAATCAGGCCCTAGCCAGTCTTTCTCAGTGGTTAGAGTGTCAGCCAGTGCACTTCTTGGTCATGGATTCAATTCCTGTTCAAGGGCATGTACCTGGGTTGCAGGTTCGAACCTCAAGTGTGCATTCAGGAGGCAACCAGTCAATGTATCTCTCTCATATCAATGTTTCTCCTTTTCTCTTTTCTTCCTTCCCTTCCTCTCTCCCTCCTCTCTCTCTCTAAAAATCAATAGAAAAAATATCCTTGGGTAAGAATTAACAAAAAAAATTTTTGAAAAAAGAAAGATTAAGAATTAGAATGGTATTTTATTGTTTAGCAGAAGGTCAAAGCTAGAAAGCAGTTGAGCATTGAATCCTGAGGCAGAATTAGTTTCATCTGATTTTTCTGAATAGCCAAACTGAATCATCTTAATATTACAACTGCTACCAAAGTTCCTTATAGGTATTATCAAGACCTAGTTTTCTCAACCTTTTTAGTTTTCTTCATCAGAATTTGTGTATGTATAATTCAGAACACTGTATTATGATTCCCCTAATACAAAAATGTCTTAAAGGGCTTAATTTTAATTAAGTTATGCTATGTTATAGTTCTGCCTTTATCTCTCTGAAAAGGAAGTTTGAACACAATATATATCTTCTTCAATGGCAGTGTACTGTGTAATACAGGGGTGCCCACATGCTGCACTGACACTGCCTACATAAGAATCACCTGTGGAGCTTGTTAACAGTACAGATTCCTGGGCCTCTCTGACTGGTTTATTAAATCTGAGACTTTGCCCAGGAATTTATATTTCACAAACTCCCGAAGTGATTCATTATACAACCTTAAATCAGGTTTGGTTCAGTATACAACCTTAAATCAAGTTTGGAAACTCCTGGTTCAATGTGCTTTTAACCCTTTGCACTCTGAACCATTCTGGACATTGGCTACCAGCTACTCGACGCTCCTTTGCAGCGGACACATGTGTTGAATTAACTCAATTCCCGTAATCACTAATTAACTGCAATGTCCCCCCTGAGAGGGGACATCCGAGTGATATGCTAGAATTCCGATGTCCCCTGAGAGGGGACAGCGGAGTGCAAAGGGTTAATAAGAAACAAGATATAGCCGAGACCGGTTTGGCTCAATGGATAGAGCATCAGCTTGGGGACTAACGGGTCCCGGGTTCGATTCCGGTCAAGGGAATGTACCTTGGTTGCGGGCATATCCCCAGTAGGGGGTGTGCAAGAGGCAGCTGATCGATGACTCTCTCTCATCGATGTTTCTAACTCTCTATCTCTCTCCCTTCTTCTCTGTACAAAGTCAATAAAATATATTTAAAAAAAAAAGAAACAAGATATAATTTTTTTTAAGAGAGAAAGGAAAGGAGAAGGACGGAGGGAGGGAAGGAGAGAGAGAGAGAGAGGAGCATAGATGTGAGAGTGGAACATCAGTTGGCTCCCTCCTGCATGCCCATTACTGAGGATTGAGCAGGCAACCCGGGTATGGACCCTGACCTGGAATCACACCAGGAACCTTTCAGTGCATAGGACGATGCTCAACCAATTGAGCCACACCAGCCAGGGAAGATGTAAATTTTTTTAAATTCCTGAGTTAAAAATATTAGAATAAAGAAAAGGAAGATTGTACATGTCATGAAAGTGACCACATTTGAACACTTGGGCTTTTGAGGACGGTTTTGTAGGCTGGGAACACTATGGAAGCAACTTAGCATTGGGGGCAGGTGAGATCCTTAAGATTTCTCTCTTTGTGTCCTGGCTTTTGTCCCCCAAGCGACAGCTTCAGTAACCCTTTATTATTTTTAAAGTATTGCTACAGATATTCTTAAAGCTCACATCAATATATATTGTTCTTGGCCATTATAGGCTAGACAGCATAATGATAAGCTGACTTATGTAAATTGTTCATAGTCCTAGGAGGGACTTCTGATGTTGAATGTTATAAGCAAGATTAATCTTAAGTTAAGCCAAAACTGGTTTGGCTCGGTGGATAAAGCGTCAGGCCTGACTCAAGGGTCCCGGGTTTGATTCCAGTCAAGAGCATGTATCTTGGTTGCGGGCACATTTCCAGTAGGGGTCGTGCAAGAGGCAGCTGATGGATGTTTCTCTCTCATTAATGTTTCTGACTCTCTATCCCTCTCCCTTCCTCTCTAAAAAATCAATAAAATATATATATTAAAAAAAAAAAAAAAGATTAACCTTAAGTGTGTGCCTCTTTGCCCAAGTAAAAAAAAAAGACTAAGAAGCATAGCACAAGGAAGTCTTACATTTCAGGGCTTTGATGAATCCATTTTACTAAAATAGAAATTTTCTGTGATTTTTAACAGCTAATATAATGCCTTCATCATCTCATTTCTTTGGCTCAGTGCCATGGGGAGCACCAGTGACAGTTCCTGGAAAGCCCTTTCATCATACTTCATATTCTGGGGCCATGCCCATGGCTGGGGGAATGGCAGGTGGTTTGCACAATCAATTCATACCTCTACAGGTGAGACCTGGAAATAAAATTATTGTGTTTTAAGAGAATTTCTTAGTGCTCAAAGATGATTGATGATAGAATAATGTGTTTATTCAATAACTAGAGGCGCGGTGCATAAAATAGGAAATTCGTGCACGGGGAGGGGCGGGGAGTGTTGTCCCTCAGCCCAGCCTGCACTCTCTCCAATCTGGGACCCCTCAAGGGATGTCCAACTGCCCATTTAGGCCTAATCCTAACTGGTAGGATCTGGCCTAAATGGGCAGTCGGACATCTTTCTCACAATCCAGGACTGCTGGCTCCCAACTCTTTGCCTGCCTGCCTTCCTGATTGCCCCTAACTGCTTCTATCTGCCAGCCTGATCACCCCTCCCCTGCCAGCTTGATTGATGCCTAACTGCTCCCCTGCCAGCCATGTTGCCCCTAACTGCCCTCCCCTAAAGGCCTGGTCACCCCTAACTGCCCTCCTCTGCAGGCCTGGTCATCCCTAACTCCTCTCCCCTGCAGGCCTGGGTCCCTCCATCTGCCCTTCCCTTCAGGCCCAGTCACCTCCAACTTCCCTCCTCTGCTGATCTGGTCACCCTTAACTGTCCTCCTCTGTAGGTTTGATCGCCCCCAACTGCTCACCCTTGCAGGTCTGGTCCCTCCCAACTGCCCTCTCCTGCTGGCCATCTTGTGGCGGCCATCTTGCGTGTTGGAGTGATGGTCAATTTGCATATTACTCTTTTATTAGATAGGATTACCTTCACTGCCAACTCAGAAGCTGAGTATTGGTTTGGGTCCTGAGATTGTGACCAGTGATACCAGTCTGGCCGAGTCCCTGCTGTCTGAATTTATGTTCTAATAAATAATAATAATTGCTGCAAATAATGATATCCTTTTCAAGCACAAAGTGATTTAAAATCAGGAATATAAATTTTATTTATATTCACTGTATGAAAATTTTTTAGATATTTTATTTCTTAACTATAAATTCTTTTAATTTCTAAAGTCTCGGTTTGGAAATTTACAATTAGAAGTTACAAGTCAGCAATGATCAACAAATATTACCAGCATGATTTATGATATTTTCTGACACTAGTTTTTTTTAGCCTACATTGTTAATCGATGATTCCTTTATTTCTTAAAGGTCACTAAAAAAAGGGTTGCAAACAAAAAGAACTTTGAGAATAAGGCCCAGAGTTCTCAAGCCACCCCACTTCAGACTAGCCAGCCAGAGTCTTCTGATGTCACCAAAGTGATTCCACAGGAGAGTTCATCAGCTCCCTTCAAATCCTCTCAGATTACTCAGCCTGCATCTTCCTTTCAAGTTGAAGCTGCCTCTCAAGGCCATAGTATGTCTCACCGTAAGTCAGCACCCAGCTCTTCTTCAAGAAGAAAATCAAGAAAACTAGCTGTCAATTTTGACATTTCTAAATCTTCTGAATAAATGTGGTACTTGGAGTTAAATTAACTTATTTTCACCCATCTTTTTATAAATCTATATCGGTGTCTCATAAAAAAAATAGAATGCGCAATTTTAAAATAATATGTTTCAATTGAAAAATTTTAAGTTGTGGAGCACTTTTCATGCTGTTTAAAAGACTATATATCAAATTGTGCATCTTAAATATGTGCAGTTTGCTTTATGTTAATTATACTTCACTAAAGCTATTTTTTAAAAAGAATAAATTTAAAGCTTGTGTGAAAATAATACTAGCAGACTAAGCATTAAAATGGACGACTCTGACTACTGAGTCCTGCACTATGAATTAGACATCATATTGCAATAATAATAAACATTTTTTACACCATCATTGAGGGATAATTAAATGGAGCATGAAAATTGGGCCCCAAGTACAATTTACTGGATATGAATTTCATTTTTTTTAAATGATGTAACAGAATTGTCAGGAGACTGCCTCTTATGTACATGTATTTTAATGTATCTTCTATTGTCTTTGTGAGTCTGGTAGACCTGCTCTGAACTGATTACACTGCATGGTGCTGCCAGTTTTGCTTTATTCCAAATTTTGTACCAAAGCAACTTTAGAATACTGGTCAGAATATTTCACTTAGCTACTTACAATTATAAATAGCAATCTAGATTTAAGCAACTAATTACTGTATTTGTAGATATTCAATAACCAGCATTTATAATTTTGAATAAAATTAAGTTTCAAAATTTACAGGGTACAATGATTATAAATTAATCTTCCAGTAGAATCAAGTAGAAGCTATTAATCATGATAACTAATGATGTTGCATTATTATTTTGTAGAGCTCACTTGCACAGCTGCACTAAATGTTGGTCCCCGTTTAGTGCTTCCTGGCTGAGGGAATTCTAGTTCTAATATCCAAGCACATGTATTACAAGCACAATACCATTGTGGTGTGCATTATTTCCATTGTCTCCCTGCTGCCTGGTCAGCACCAGCACTTGGTCTTTGCATGTCTTGTCGGGGGTATTGTTCAAGCTCTGGCTCTTAGTATTCTTTTAAAGTTTTTGAAAATTTATCAGTAGCCCTGGGACTGAATTTTTATATATATTTTTATCCTTTAGTTTTTATGATGTGCTTATATTTTTAAGGAAATAAGTTATCTTTTTTCTTTTTAAGTTAGAACCACAATTTTTATATGGAGTTGCTTCTTATATCTAACTTCATTGAGTGCATTGGACACTCTGCCATGAGTCTTAGAGTGGTCTCTCTGTTTAAAGTGCTGGCCTTGACCAAGTGGATTCCTTTAACTGCTGGTTTCAGAGTTTCTCTAAATGTGTATAAGCTATTTGTATATTAATAGTGCCTTTAGTATAAGAGGTAAATGTTCATTACCTATCATTTGTTATGGTCATGTGAGTCTGTGATCTTAATTTCTTTCCTAGATTTACACTTCAGCAGGGTCCAGCAGTTCCTTTTTGAGAGTGTTTCTTTTATCTCTAGTAGGATCTTGAATAATTATGTTCAAATAATTCTCAGCATTTGTCTTTGTTGCCTCACAAGCTATTTGTTTTAAAAGGAAATATCTGTTATGGGAATACAATACAAAAAAGTTAAATTGTGACAGTAATGTTCTATTTAAAGTATATAATGTTTTTCACCTTCTGTAACTATACAAACTCCAGCATTCAATAATTGCCTCCCACATCACTTCTGTGGGACCACTCTATAAACAGTGCACAGCTCACAGATTTTTTTAGATCACAGAGCAAGGAATGCGCACCAACTGAAAACTCCAAGAAAAATTTCAGTAAGCATGATGCCACTGAACTAGTAAGGATATTCCCGTATCTGAGCAAAAAGCAAATTGATAGTTCTATATGGATAGGCAGTAAACATGTTTCTCTTTGTTCCTTCTTCTCTTTTTTTAAAAACATATTATCCTAAAGGTCAACAGTAAAGAGATTATGGAAGGGAGCTCTGTAATGACTAGGCATTGCTCTGTATTCTTTTCCCCATGTAGACTTACTCTAAATGTGGGCCCAACATCCATAGGAGATGTGCCCTCCCTGTGGGGATAGGCTGTTTTATCTCATGAAATTTTGAGGAGAGTGGACCCATTGATAGTTTGGGAAACTTACAGTTTTTTTCTTTTTGGGTGGGGCCGACTCAACCACCCCAAAGTTTAGTTATCTGTTTGTTCCACAATTGGATCTGCTGTGGAGCGTTGAAGATGCCGAAGAGCAGGGTCGCCAGAGGCTCTCATGTTTCCACATAACTAACTGGAGCAGTTAATTTTAAGTATTCTTGTTCAGTAATGTTTCTTTTCCTTTCTTTTTGAGTGAAGTAAGTGAATTTAGAAGCTTGATCTTCCCAGTTTCGTTGTTTCTGTTCACAATTTCTGACATTACCTGAGCTTTATAATTTGGCAGAAAGAATGTACTAATTGATTTAAACATTGAGTAGACCAAAGTCTTAAACATCTGATGATAAAAAGATAAAGAGATCCTTTTTACTCCCTATTGAGAGGAAGGACGAAGAACTTGAGGCAGGTTTTTTGTTGTTTACTTCTTTTTCTCTGATCAGGTATTTGCTTTAAATTTAGACTGATACTTTCAAACTTATCTTAGTTTTTAAAATACTGGGGAGAGAGAAGGTGGTTGGAATAAGGAAACCAGTTAAATAAGACATATCCAATCACTGCTTTGTCAGACTATTTTATATCTTCTAGCTCAAGGAAGCAGATAAGCTTTAGGATCTGTTTCATTTACTTTTTAAGCATCTGTTTTATTTCTGTGAGTAAATCATACATTTGCATAGTGGTTGTCTTCTTTTTACCTGAAGATAGAATTGGAGATCCATTATAGTTCTACCATGCTTCATCTCATTGGTCCACAATTTTTAAAACAACTGTGTACAATAGCCCAGCTTTTTGAGCTTGGTGTTTACCTGTAAACATAATTTTTTCCAATAGTTTCAGCAGTTGGTATGCTGCCTAGGCCCACCAGTTAAGTTTCTATAGATGTTTCAGTCACTTGAAGCCAAATCCCTTTCCCATTTCTAATGAAATAATATAAGAGAATTTGGTCCACAGTTTGCTTTAAGTTCTTTTCTTTCTTTCTTCTCTTTGTCTTGGGGTTTTTTTGTTTTGGTTTGGTTTGGGTTTTTGCCTCTCATCCCTTACATTTTATTTTGCCTGCACATAGTTGCTTTGTAGAGTGTTTTCATATATTTTGATATATGAGTAAGAACGTGCTGTGTCATCAAATGTTCCACAGTTTGTTCATTTAAACAATATGATTAAGTATAAGTCATACATGTATATTTTAATTCCTTTCTTTTCTCACATAACTATTTTATAAGTAACTAGAATTTTTCATCAGATCTTATACAGAGCAATATTTTATTAAAAACTCAAAAGGGAAGAAACTTTTATGCTCATTTTGTAGTTTTTTTTTAAATATCTTTACATTATCTGCAATTAAAGTGTTTTAAACTTGCATTAGAATGGACTTCAAATGTATTATTGTGTTGTTCATTTGTAAATTTATAGCATGAAGTTAGCCTCAAAACATTGTGCAAAAAGATTTTTAAGTGTAATAATCACTGAAAGAGTTTAAACATTGTACATGTTAAATGCTATATGGATTTTAATTAAACACTTGAGAATGATTTTATAAGCTGTTTATTCTTGTATGTTTGCATTAATATCAGAAGCGGAAATATTGCACTTGTCATTTAAATTCCATATCCTTTTATACCTGTATTTTGGATTTACATTTAGTGTAAACTAGCCAGCATGTTTGGTAGGAAAAGTCTAAATTGTAGACTCAGGTAGCCACTCTTCTGATCTTAACTCTACTGCTTACTAGTTGTAAATGGGTCAGTATCTATTAACATTGACAAGTTAGGTAAGGTTTATGTACAGTTTCTTTATCTCCTAAGTAAGAAAACAACACCCTTGTATGGTTAATATGTAGAAGGCACTAGGAACATAGCAGGCATATTACAAATTTTAGTGAATGAGGCTTTGTCACATGATCTTTTCTCTGAGTCCCAAACACAAATCTTCTGGACCGTGGTGGGTACCACTTTGTCTTTCCCACGGAGTTCCTCTGTAGCGTCTAGCTCCTACAAAGTCCCCTGCTTCCCCAAGCATTAGGAGCCTCTTCCCTTTATGTTATTGTTTTCCCTGACATAATCCCCTCTATCTTTTCTACATGCAGGGGAAGGTTCTTACCAGCCACATAGAAGGAGGCTTTAATTCCTACTCATAAGACCAGGGAATCTACTGGTACAAGACTAACATATATACTAATAAAAGGGTAATATGCTAATTAGACCAGATGGACCGGACATATTCCGGTCATCCTTCCAGACAAAGTCATGGTGGCAGGGGCCAAGGCAGAGGCAGTAGGGGCAATGAAGCTGAATGGGGAGAGCAGTTAGGGGTAATCAGGCAGGCAGGCAGAGTGGTTAGGGGCGATCAGGCAGGCAGGCGGGTGAGTGGTTAGGAGCTAGTGGTCCCGGATTGCAAGAAGGGTGTCCAGCTACCAGTTGCCCAATCCCGATGGGTCCCGGATTGGAGAGGGTGTAGGCCAAGCTGAGGACCACCCCCCACCCCATCCCTGCCCTGCACAAATTTTGTGCACTGGGCATTCAGTCTTGCTAATAATGGCTGTATCTCACACTAGAACTCTTATGCATAATTTTACCAAAATCTCCATGATAGGGGTGGGTGTGAAGGGGTTAAGGAGGGAAGACAGTTTCTTCCTGCTACATCTGCATCCAGCTCTGCCTTATAAATCTGAGGCTGTTTGTAAGATTGTACTTTACTCAGGAACCCCAAGGAGTCACATTCTGATTTGTTTGGTTGCTTGATCCAGAGAGGCATGAGGCCTGGGACCACCACTGGAGTCTCAGCTACCTGCTTTTCTACTACATTCCCCATATTGCCAGCTTCCCACACTGAGAGTCTTGGTAACCAAATTTCTTCACCCTAATCTAGAGCATTTTTGGGCTTCCTTAATCTTGGTGAAGCAAAACTAAAACCAAAACCCATTCAAACCACCTTAAGAAAGGGAAAGTTGTAAGAACATGGGGCAATATCAAAATCCAATCCAGGAAGTACAACGAAGCTTTTAAGAAACAGAACTTAGGGTATTACCTTCCAATTCACTCTGTCTTCCCTCCATGGGGTGGCTCACTCATCTGAAGTGTGGATGGGTAGGCAGGTGACCTTCAGGGGCTGCTCCTCCTGGGATGTGGGTTGATAAGGAAATGCCAACCTCTCAAAGGCAAACGAAAACAACCCATCCTGGACCCACAGTCAGTTCATGTAAGTTTTTAGTTTATTTTGTTTTTGTTTTTAAATATATTTTTATTATTGATTTTCATAATGAATGTGTGAGCCAAGGGTTTTTCCCCCAGGGTCGTGTCTCATGATGCTGAAGAATGAGGTCCTCGGACCAGAACATTTAAGCAAAAGTGTGAAAAATGTATTACAAGCAGATTCAGACTCCCCTCAAGGGGAGGGAAGAGGCACTAATGGGCTGCCCATTAAAGACTTGTAGTCCAGGGGCATATATATTTGCTACAAGCCTGCTTCTATATCTTTCCGTGTCGACTTCCTCAATTGTTCTTGTCCAGCAACAGACCTGAACTTTCCCTGTTTCTATGTGTTCTTTCTCTGTTCCTATGCTGAACTTTCTCTGTTTCTGTGCATTTATATACCTGTTGTTTCACGTCCTTCCTTGTTCTCACCTGCCTCTCTCTTTGAGTCCAGAAACATTTTATTATTTCTGCTTGGTTGGTTCCTGTGGTTAGGCTGCTCAAATTACAGTGTCTGCCCCTGCCTATGTACTACTTGCCTTTGTTTTCCACTGGACCCCTGCCCTATCAGCATGTGTTTCAAGTTAACCCTCTCAGTCCCCACTCCAATTAGGAGACCCTAACTGCTGTTGGGAGCAGGGGTGATGACCACTCTGGCTACTTCCTCCTGAAAAGGAATGTGGATTAAAAGCAGCCTTTAGGGTCCCATCGGAGGAGGCTGGTCTAGGGGTCCATGGTAAAGGGCAGTTGTCCACCTGGGGCTGCATTTGGAGTTTTATAGCCTCTATCAAGATTAAACAAAACATATTAGAATGTTTAATAAGCAAGGGTCAAAGATAAGTAATAGAAATAGCTAAACAAAGGGCTGAGAAGCCAACCAGCTTCTTAGGGATAGGACTATTTCTTTAATTTGTTTTAAGTACTGTATGGAAAATGATACCTGTACCCAGGTGGGTCAAAACTATCCTCTGCAGAGGGCAGGGGGTACTTAGGGCCTGGATGGCTGAGTCCCCTTGGGTCTTGGTGGGACTTGTCCTTTCAGGGGTCTTGTATTATAAGGAGGACAAGATGGCTTAAGTGTATTCTGTGGGCGACTAGGTCCCATCACCTTCTTAGGGGTTTTTGACTCTGGTATTGTTTTGGGTCAATGATGTCAAGAACTAGGCTTCAATTTTGCATTACTGACATAATTGTTTATTGTTTCTTAAGGTAAATAAAGCCTGCCTATAAGAGAGCTTAAACTACTTCTCTTCCCTTCTAAAGAAAAGATCTATTTGTAAGATGGTATTGTAATTAATACTTGTAAGATGGGCCATGTCTTTCTATCTTCCATGTCTGAGTACAAAAGAAAATCAGGCATTTCTTAAGGGTCTGAAGGTCCAATGTGTCCCATGTTTAAAAATACAGCCCAAAAGACTATCTGTATGGGATATGGAAGAAGTGCTTCCCATCAGTAAGAAAACACACAAAAGGATGCCCAGCATCCTGTGTGAACTTCCCTTCTCTGTTTGGGGCATCCCTTTCCTAGATAAGGGATGTGAAATGGGTGTCTTTGTGTGTGACCACAAAAGAGGTTCTGCTGGACTTAGTCACACTTACTGGCGAGATCTAGGGCGAGAAAACCTGTTAGTGTACGTCCATTAACAGAAATGACCTACTGGACTGTGCACATTAGGTACCAATGAGGTCCTGCCAGACACTCATCCTGCTCCACATGCTGACCAGTATCCCTGATTGAAAGTGTCTAAGATGGTTCCAATATTTCTGAAGTTTTTTTCTGAAACCCATCAAGTTTCCCAAAGGAGTTTCAAAAGAAGTGACTCTAGTCCAAGGGCTTGAAGAGTTTGGCCAGTACCTGGAGCTCTGGACTGGCCAGTATCCAGAGCCCCAGGGAGAATACAAATAGCTCCAGCCTTATTCCTGTGTATGCCCTCACTATCAAAAGATCTATCCTCTTCACCCAGGTCTCTCCAGTCTGTCAGTAATGTGGGACTTACTACCATGTTTCCCAAAAATAAGACATCCTCCAAAAATAAGACCTACTTACAGGTTTCCTTCTGAGTGAAATATAAGGCATCCCCCAAAAAATAAGCCCCCCCCCCCCCAGGCTAACCATGAGAGATTTGGTCCACTGATTCTGAAAGAAATGGAGTCACCAGGAAATTCAGGAATTGGATTGTTATGATGATGTTCCAGAAGATGATGACATGATTGTCATTGAATAAATGAGTAAATTCTTGATACTGTAGCATTCACAGTTTGTCTGGTTTGTGTTGACAACTACCGAACTACCGTACCGTATACAGGTAATAAATTTCCTTTATTTTCATTTAACAATAAATATGTACCGTATTCTTCTTCATGGAAAAATAAGATACCCCATGAAAATAAGATCTAGCACATCTTAGGGAGCAAAAATTAATATAAGACACTGTCTTATTTTCGGGGAAACAGGGTAGTATATGAAAAGGGTGGAACCCTACTTCTGTTAAGCCTAGGACTTTACATCCACTAGTGAGGAAATCTCCTTGATAATATAGGTGTCTAGTATGTGATTTACCTGGGAATATGGAGGCACACTGCAAATAATGTTGGAGAGCTTGTTTTAGTCTCTTTTGGTCCTTCTCTTTCCAGTCCTCTGCTCTATTTGTGTTTGCATGAAAGAAAAAGTTCCCAACTCAAGGGCCTATATGACCTCTTACATGTGGGGAGATGTAGTTATCAGAAGCATGCTATGTCTCCCGAGTATGGATACTTTCTTCTAGGCTTTCCTATAATTATGGTAAGAACTAAGACTCTGATTCCCATAAGCCTAAGGCTAGTTTCTTTAAAATCCCTGGAAAGAACTGAACAATCTGGAGGAAGTGGACATATTCCTAGAAAAATACAACCTTCCAAAACTCAATCAGGAAGAATCTAAAAATCTCAATAGACCAGTGACTTGGGAAGAAATTGAAACAGTCATTAAAAAGCTTCCAGCAAACAAAAGCCCAGGGCCAGATGGCTTCATAGGAGAGTTTTACCAAACATTCAAGGAAGAACTAAAACCTATCCTCATCAGACTATTCCAAAAAAATTCAAGAGGAAGAAACAGTTCCACACTCCTTCTATGAAGCCAGCATCACCCTAATATTAAGGCCAGATAAAGACAACTCAATGAAAGAGAATTACAGGCCCATATCCCTCATGAACTTAGATGCCAAAATCCTCAACAAAATTCTAGGAAACCAGCTCCAGCAGAACATCAGAAAGATCATACACCATGACCAAGTAGGATTTATTCCAGGAATGCAAGGATGGTACAATATCCGCTAATCAATAAATGTGATACATCACATAAACAAAT